ACAAATCGCTGATAATACCTCGTAAGCCCTAAAAGCCCTCTCAAACTTTTCACATTGTGCGGTACAGGCCAAGATATCATCGATTCGATTTTCTGCGGATCAACCTCTACCCCCTTGGCTGAGATTAAGTGACCCAAATATTCTAACTTATATTGAGCAAATAGGCATTTCTTTTTAGTGACCACCAATGCATTATCCTGTAGAATCTTGAAAGCTTGCTGCAAATGGTGAATGTGGGTAGTCATGTCGGGGCTGTAGATGAGAATTTCGTCAAAAAAAACTAAGATGAACTTTCGTCAAAAAAAACTAAGATGAACTTTCGTAATAATGGTCGAAAAATCGTGTTCATAAGGGCTTGGAAGGTGGATGGTGCATTTGTCAACCCAAAAGGCATCACCAAGAACTCATAATGGCCTTCATGGGTGCGAAAGGCTGTTTTTCGAATGTCCTTCTCTTTAACTCGAATTTGATGATACCCGGACTTTAAATCCAACTTGGAAAAGACTGTAGCCCCTGCTAGCTCATCCAGCAACTCTTCAATGGATGGAATAGGGAACTTGCAGAGTATGGTAATGCTATTTAAGGTCCTAAAGTCAACACAGAATCGTCAACTCTCATCCTTTTTCTTAACTAACAACACGGGGCTGGCGTAAGGGCTTGTGCTGGGTTGGATAATTCCCGCATCCATCATCTCCCCAACTAATCTCTCAATCTCATTCTTTTGGAGGTAAGGGTATTTGTATGGTCTAATGTTGGGTGGTTTGGCTCCAGGTTGAAGGGTGATGGCATGGTCTAGTTGTTTGCGGTGAGGGAGCCTAGTAGTTTGGTCAAAAACTTGGGCAAAATCATTCAACACCTCAGCCACCATAGGTTCCAATTTTCCTTCTTCCTGACTGTCTTTGACCTCTATTAAACTGCATTATACCAAGTATCCACCCCCTTCCATTTGTAGCATCCTGAGTAAAGTTTTCAAAGAAACTACTGTCTTAACAAGTGAAGGATCACCCTTGAGTATCACCCGTTTCCCTCCCTTATCAAACGCCATAGTTAACTTGCCCCGATTGGAACAAACATCTCCTAAGGTGCTTAACCAAGCAATCCCTAGGACCACATCGGCCTTACCCAATTGAAATGGAAAAAAGTCTTTTTGAACTTCCATCCCTTGCATTTCTAACTTCACATCCTGACAAATTCTTTCACCCTTGATTCTGAACCCATTACCCACCATGACCCCGAAAGACTTAGCCCCATCAATCGGAATTTCTAGTTTTTGCACCAAGGCATGTGAGATAAAATTGTGTGAGGCTTCGCTATCCACTAACACAACCACCTCCACACACCCAATTTGCCCCTGAAGCTTCATGGGTCAATCCGATGTAATGCCAACAATTGAGTTCATGGATAGAGATAGAGGATTACCTTCCGCGTTAGTTTTTGCCTCTGGCTCGCTCACGGGTTCTCCTCTATCAGTCTCATCGTCGTCGAGCAGCAATAAAATTTGGAGAGATCAACTCTTACATCGATGATTGGGACCAAATTTCTCATCACACCTAAAACAAAGTCCTCTTTCCCATTTATATTGCAAATCGGTCTCTATTAACTGCCAGAATCCATCATTTCGAGGTGGAGTTGTTGTTCCTTCCATCGGCCTTTCTCTCTTGTCCCACACATGATTACTCTTGTCTTGATTCAGTGGGTTTGCTTGCCGGGTTCCACCAATTTGGGCGACCCAGATCTAGAGAAGAAGAGACCCGATTGTAACTCTCGGGTTTGCCTGCTTGGGCTTTGGAAAACCTGGGCTTAGTTTTGTCCAAGACCCAATTCTTTTCTTCTATTCAGTGGGCCTGGTCAATGAGTTCAAATAAACTTTTGGATTTACTCAGCCTTAGTTCAACCCGTGACTCCTCTCTAAGGCCATTTGCAAAGATGCCCATTAGGAGATCTTCTCCTAACTCACGCAGAGGAGTTGAGAGCTCTTCAAAATGTTCGCGATATTCAGTCATGGTCCCAGTTTGCCTCAACGCCATTAGTGCTTCATAAGCAGACCCCTTGTACGATGGTCGAAATCGTTCAACTAGCACCAACTTCAAAGAGCTCCAAGAAGTTATTGGTGACCGGGATTCGACCCATTGATACCAGTTCAAGGGTCGACCCTCCATACACACCGCCACAGCTTCTACTTTCTCTTCTTCCTCATAACGATTGACCGTAAAGTACCGATCAGCTCTAAAGGTCCATCCAAAAGGGTCATCTTCGTTAAATATCGGCAGCTCCAGTTTGCGAATCCTCTTGTCCTCTTTTCCATTATCACCATTGTGATCTCGTTCAAGTTCTTTGTCTCGGCCAGAATTCTGATTCTCCGAAGACAAGGATGATTTCTCCTTTTCCCGGTATCGTTTCTCATCCCTTTCTACCCTTATACACATAAATTCGCGCATCTCCGTTAAATACTCTTTAACGCTACCCAAGTTAGTCTTCATCGTGTCCATGTCTTCCTTCACTGTTGTCATTTCCTTTTCAACGTTATCCATTCTGTTCTCCATCTTGGATTTTACTTTTCCCCAACCTAGCTCTGATACCAATTTGATGAGAACACAACTGCAATGCTCAATAAAAATGCTATTTGATAACACTCAGCACAACTTTTAAGTAACTGGAAAATTATACTGATATATTGAAATGAAAATGATGGCCAAACAAGCTGGATACAGGGAATAACAATGACAGAAAAATAAAAGGGGTGACTAGCACTTCGAGGCGCTAGTGGCCTCCAACAATAATTCTAGATTTCACAATGGCATTAACTAGCTATTCCTTCCCCAAAACAACCAACCCCCCCCCCC